GAACCCGCGGGATCAGACAATCCACTCACCTCAGCCTCCCAAAGGCGCAGGATTACAGGCTGAGCCACCGAGCCCGGCTTTTTTTTTTTTTTTTTTTTGGTAGAGAGAGGTCCACGCTATGTTGCCTAGGCTGGTCTCAAACTTCTGGCATCAAACGATCCTCCCACCTCAGCCTCCCAAGGTGCTGGAATTACAGGTGTGAGCCACCACGCCTGAACAATAAATGTATTATATTAGTTTTAATAGAGGTCATTTTTTTTTGAAGAAACTCTGTAAGTAGAACTTGGTTTGAGTCTTCTAGTCTGTACATTTCTGAAGACCAGAAACACGAAATAATATGATTTTAGAACAGCTAAGGAGCTTGAGTCATTAAGCTGCCTCCGGTTAGAGATGAGAAGACAGGTGTGGGGGCTGGTGACTTCCAAGGCCACACTAGGCTAGTGTGATACAAAGCTGGAATCCTGACTTTCCGGCTTCCAGACCAATGTATTCCCCATTGCTTTATGCTCCAGTGTAAGTCTTTAATTAGCATTTAATTAAGACACCGAGTCAGCAATTTTTTTGTAGCACTGATGAACTCATTATTGTTCTGTGTTCTTTTTTAAAGACAAAGGTTACGATGTGTCCGTGTGTCGTTCCCAGAGTCACATAACCCTTTTTGGCAGTCACCGAAATCACTGAGTCAAACCAGGAACCCCCCCACCCCCACCCCCACCCCCGGTAACGGGGTCCGAGCAGCGTGCTGTGTGCCATTTGATAATGAACAGAAATGAGATATTTCTAAAAGCCCGGCCACCAGTTGTGGCAGACTTTCCTTAAATACGGGTGTGGCTGACATTCGGCAATTTCATTTCAAGCCACATGATGCGTCACACTCCAGCGCGAGGATGGGAGCCTGTCCTATTTTCCCGAGCAGGACCTGGCTGGACTCCCTCCTTCTCCCGCCCCAGCAGGACTTGCCCCCTGCTCCCCTCCCTCGGGCGGCTTCTCGGAGTGTTGGGTCTTACTGGGTCTTGGGGGCTTTCGGATGAAAGGCCAAGTGAGACTCCAGAGAAAGGGAGGGCCATCGAGCCCTGGACTCCACGCAGAGCAACCCTCTCCATTCCTTGGTCTTTTCAGTGTTTCTAGTGCGACGGTGTCACGTCTTCTAAACAAGAAACTGCTTCTTATCTCGCCAGCCTTTCCTTTGTCACGTTGGATCAACACTGGTGTGGTGGAGCCAGAGACCCGCTCTGCCACTTGGCTGCGTGCAGGTCTCGGAACCTCTGTGGCTCTCAGTTTCCTTTTCGTAAAAGGGGACTGTCGCGAACACTGACCTTAAGGTCCTTCTCACAGCATGACGCTCAGTGAGACCTGACGTTTCGTTTATATGAACCAGCTGAATGACCTTGGAAGAGTCCCTTCACTTCAGGAGCTGCTTTCTTTTTTTTCTCAAGTCTTACGAGCAGCCAGTAGGCGCTGCTTTCTTACAGGAAGCGAGGAAGTGGATGCCAAAGGTCCCTCAAGCCCTTTTCAGCACTGACAATTCCCTGGGTCCTCACTGCAAGGCATCCTGGCCCATCGGGGACCTGGCCTCTCGTCCCCACGCCCCTCCCATGCCCCTTTCTTGGTGGTGGGCTAGCACCCCGCCCCACCCCCTCACTTCTCTTACCCCTTTGGAAGCTGCAGAAGACCCACGTCCCAG